CCAGGCAGCCCTCGGGCCAGCGCGTCCTCCGCGCGCCCCAGCAGCGCGGCGTGTGGCTCGAAGGCGGCAGGTGGCAGTAGTTTGTCCCCGGCCAGGTGGCCCGGAGCCCCGTAAGCGGCGAGTGGCGGCGGCGGCGGCGGCTGCGGGGCGCTGTGCAGAGCCGGGGGCAGCGCACTGGGCAGCGGCGACAGTGGCGACCCCATGGTGGGCAGCTCCTTGCCATAGGGACCGTAGAGGTGGCCCACCGAGGCCAGCGCCGCCCGCTCGTCGCGCATGAGGGTGAAGCTGCCGCTCACGCTGGCCGCCAGGCGCTGCGGAGGGGGCGGTGGCGGCGCGGTGGCCGGGTGAGGGTGCGCGTGCGGATGGCCTCCGTGCGCCCCGGCCACCGCGTGCTGGTGGAACTTGTCAGCCACGGCGGCCAGCGGCGGCAGGTGCTGCAAGGGCGTGAGCGTGGTGTAGGTGCCACCCAAACCTGGGGCCTCGCACGCCATACCCATGGCCGGGTGTAGGGGGCCAGCCAGCTCCCCACGGAAGTCAGGGCCACCACCCGCGGCCCCTGCAGCCCCCGCGCCCCCAGCGCCCCCGCCCCCGGCGCCGCCACCGTCCAGCAGGCTAGCCATGCCCGCCACCAGGCCCGGGCGCCCCGATGCCACTAGGCTTCGGTGTTGGGCCGCGGCGGAGCGCGCGTGGCCCGGGCTTAGCAGCTCGCCGGCTTGCGCGTGTGTCACCCCGTGCAGCCCCCCGAGGCTCTCCAAGCTCAGCTCCATCCTGGGCGCCCCCTCTGTGTGTGCTCAAGGCCGCAGCATGGTCTCCACGCACTGGCCGACGCTCCCGGAGGCGGCGGCTGCTGTCCCGCTCGTTCAGTGCTCTCGCCCGGCTTCGGCTGCTGCGAGCAGCGGCCACCAGGATGTGGCGGGGCGGCCGCCGCCGGCGCCCCGGCCTGGGTCTGACGTCAGCGCCCCCGCCCATCGCTCCGCCTGCACCCGCCAAATCCCCTGGAGCTCCAGGCTGGCTTCCCGGGTCTCCTCTTTCCGCTTGCCCGGAGAACCTGAGGGATTTGGGTGGGGGACCGCTAGTCCTAGCGGGGACTGTGTGTGTGTTCTCATCTCAGCATCTTTGACTATCTGCCCCTGTACATCGTAACACACACACCCCAGTCCCTGAAGTGTGGCTACATATGCCTTCCTACTGTGTTGGCACCCCCAAAAAGATGTGGCTCTTTTTAAAGCTCACTCCCATATACATACAAAGATTTCAAAACCTCTTTGGGGGTGATGTGGGACAATTAGTAGGTCCCCAGAACAATCATACGATTTATACTGGCCTCGAGAACAAGGAAAAGCAGGCATTTGGGCCTCTGTTTCCTAGATTGTGGAATGTAATTGCTCTTCCTAAGGGGACATTCAGAAATCTCTCTCAACGGGGACTTGAGTGGTCTTTAGTCCCAGAACTAGGAAGTCAGAGGCAGGTGGATCTTTAATTTGGAGGCTAGCCTGGTCTATGCAGCAAGTTCCAGTCCAGCAAGGGACTCCTTGCATAGTGAGTCCTTGCATCAAAGCACACAGAAATCCCTCGAGTCCAGCGTGGTGGCGCACACCTTTAATCTCAGCACTGGAGAGGCAGAGGCAAGTGGATTTCTGAGTTCAAAGTCAGCCTGGCCTACAGAACTGGATTCAAGGACAGCCAGGGCGACACATGGAAAAGATGTGTGTGTGTGTGTGTGTGTGTGTGTGTGAGAGAGAGAGAGAGAGAGAGAGAGAGAGAGAGAGAGAGAGGGGACTGGTCATCTCTAGATCAGCTTGGGTTTTCCTCTGACTGAGATAGCCTAGGAAATCTGTCTCTCTTCCATCCGTAGACAGGGAAGGGGAGAAAGAAGGGGTACATAGATGGCACCCTTAGGCACAAGGCACAGGGAACAAGGCCCCTCTTGGATGGGTAGAGAAGAGATCCCTGGGGTGGTCAAGCCAGACCCTGGAGGGACCTTGTGTTTGAGATCCAGAGGTCAGGAGGGTGTCCCCACTCAGTCCTAGCTCCCGCCACCGTTCCCCTGCTCACTGTTGGTGAGGGTTATTGGCATTTGATCTGGAACTGGAGTCACCCATCTCAAGGCAGGACCAAGGGCTCTGAGTGACAGATGCCCACTCAAGGGATGCCCCACCAATGGCTTGGGGTGTTGGGCTTGCACCAAGAATCTGATGTCTGCAATGCAATGGCTGTGTGACCCGTACGGTGGTCCATGCTCCAGGCTGCTCAGAGTCCTTTCTGTTCCTCAGTTTCCCCTTTCCTACTGCCACCCCAGAGCAGAGGAGCTGTGGAGGAAGGTGGCATTATATGAGAGCCATTAGGTGGGAGAGCATGTGTCATGCAGAGGCCCTCTCCCAAATCCTTGAGTGGACAGGGCCAGGGGACTGTTTAAATGTGAAGCACTGAGCATTTATTAAGCTCCAGCTGTTTAACAGTCCTGGAGAGGGAAGGGTCCCAGAACCCTTCACTTCTTGCCTGTTGCTGCCTTGGTCTACCTGTTGGGGGGGAACAGTGGGGTGTAAAGATTGCAGAGAGGGGCCATGAGGGGTGAAGGTTGCAGGAGTGGATATTTCTACCCAACCACCTCTCCCAAGGGGTCAGAAGCCTTGGGGTCTTCTGATTTGGGGAGCCTGGAATTTTGGGGGCTACAGCCATCTTCCAGACAGAGGAATGGAGGCACACAGAGCATCGAGTGCAGCATTTGGGATTCCTCCCCAGTGATGAAGACCTGGGAACAGTTGCTATGGCCAGGATCAGAGTCAAGTCTGAGGTCCCCAAGTCTACCCTGCAACATCACAGATAATTAAAAATAATCGTGGGGTGTGGAAATCAATCCAGCACTGTTAACGGATAGCATGCAGAGCTCCAGGAGGCTGTCCTGCATGTGTACTGTGGGGAGGGGCTGCCTGGGGTGCTTATGAACAAAAGATGTCCATAAACCCTTTCAAATCCAGCCACCCAGGGCTCCTGAGAGGGGGTTGGGATGATGCGGGCCTTCCCCTTCATTTCTGCCTGTGTTATTTTTTGTTTTAAATGATATCTATAGCTCCCTCCCCCACTCCCATGAGTGAGGAATCCATTCTGAAGAAAAAAGAGGAGGCTGGGCTTTGAGATGAGGGAACTACCTTTTTCTCTTGAAGCAGTACAACCTCAGGTGCCACACAGTCCCTTTAAAACTGCCTAGACTTAGACAGGGCTTCTCGGACCCGCGGAGGGACACTTTTCCGGAGTTTGCAGCCTGTGATTAAGTCTTCTGGGGACGAAGGGCTGGATCTTCGCAGGGTCTGAGGTCCCACTGAGAGATGGAATAAAAACTTAGGGGTCCCTCAGAAACGGACTGTGCTCCCTGAGCCCCAAGAACTGGTCTCCCCGCACTTTAGTAATTAGTAAAATAGAATTGAGCAGGCCATGGGGCAGACAGGCGGCTGGGCCTGATCGATCTTGGGTCATTAGCAAACTGAGGGTGGAGGAGGGGTGTGGTGGGGGGCAGGGTGTCCCGCATCTCTATTTCCATGGGGACCTAGGCCAACTCACAGAACCTCTCAGTGGACCTCAGTATCGCCTCTGGAAAAATCAGAGATGGAGTCCAGGAGCCCCACAACTGCCTCTGTTGTCTCCGGACATGCTGGACTGCGCCTGGCTAATATCCACTGTCTCTGTGTTGAGACCAAATTTGAGAGAAATTTGAGGCCCGGTTAACTTGAGGGCTGTGAGAGTCGGATCAGCAAGAACAAGCGGCAAGGCGTTGAGGGGACATGTTGGGGGCTTCGCGGAAGCAGTCAGTCGCCCCTTCAACCCCCAGGAGCCTCCTCACCTAACCTAAAGGCGGCGCTGGACTCAGACCCCATCCCTCCCTCACCAGTTTGGCCTCACCAATGTCCTCTTCTTCGCTTCCCATTTTAGCTAAAAATTGACTCGGGGACGTTAGATGCCTGAAGTTGTCCCTCCGAGGAGGGTGCTCCAGCCTCTCCCGACAGGCCGCTGTTTATTGCCCACCGAAATGAGAATTTTATGCCACTATCCTCTCTTCTCGCCCGGGAGCGGGCGGGGGTGGCGTGGTTCATAGGGACTCTAGCGACCGCCACTTCCATTCCAGTCAGAGCTGGATTTTGGCCAGCCTCCCCCAAATCTGCAGGCGCCACAGATTTGAATTCCCCACACCGTGCAGCGCCCCGTTCTCCGTAGGGAGACAGAGAAGTGGTGTCCAGCCTGGGTGGTCCCAGGGTTCTCTGTCGGGTGTGGGGTTGCAGGTGAATCGCTCTCATCCAGAGCTCACGGCACCCCGAGATGCCTGCACGGCCGGGGCCTGTGACTGCTTCGCCGGTGGCAGCTCCGCGAGGCTGTTCCGTGACAGCTGTGTCCGATCGATCCCCGACGGCCCAGCGTCTCCATCGAATCCCCATCGCTCTGGGCCGCGCGCTGCGCAAACACCCGCTTGTTTGCAGCAGGCCGCGGGTGCTGCGCGAGGACCTCGGGCGTCACTCCAGCCTCGACCGCTCAAGTTCCAGGGGCGCGATGAAGGGAGGGAACCCCTATTCTGGAGTCTAAACAGCCCACTCCCTTGCCCTGACTCAGTTTCCCGCACAGAGAGCAGCCGCTCACTCTGGGGGACCCCAGAGTAGGGAGGGCCGGCTGCTGTTCTCTAAACCACCTGCCGCTCCCTTCCTTGGCCTCCCTCCCCCTCCTCCTTCCTCCTCCCCTCTGACAATGTCTGCTGTAGCCGGGGCTGGCACCTCTACTGTAGCCGGGGCTGGCACCTCTACTGTAGCCGGGGCTGGCACCTCT